TTTCCTCAGAGCTAGAATAGTCATTAAAATCACCGGCAACCAGCCATGGTTCTTGGGTGTTTTGGGCTACAGATTCAAGCCCTTCCCATAACTCGTCTCTCATCCGGCTATTTGGGCTGGCATATACTGCTGAGAGCACCCATGTTGGATAGTCTTGTCTAGAGATGGTTGCAGTAATCACTACAACAAAATAGGTGACGAAACTGTTTTTCGTCACCAGGTACTTTTTGTGACGACGTATAGGCCACGAACGTGGTGACAAATTTTTTTCGTCACAGATCACTTTAGTGACGAAATTTTGATGTTTGGAGACAAAATCAGTCTGTCACCAAAGACCTTTTTTGTTGTAGTGAATCATTTGGGAGTTTGCCTTAGTAACACGAACATTAGCTTGACTGGGATCCCAAAGCATCCATATTCCCTCACTGTGGCCAACTGGGTCTACATGAGTTGAAGCCATGAACCCCAGTTGATTGAAATACATACCCATAGTACTAAGTTCCACCTTAGTTTCTAGGAGGATGATCATATTTGGCCTGTGAAGCCTCACAATTTCCCTCAGATTCCTCTTGAATCGATCGTTTCCTGCACCCCTACAGTTCCAAAGCAGAATATCCTCTTCAGTGAGGCCCAAGATGACTTTTGCTGTCTTTAGACTGTCCTCCAGCGTTGACGACGGCTTCACCAGCACAATGTGATTCACGTTGTGTGCATCCGTCTCCCTCCATGGTTGAATCAGAAGCTTCGCTTCGTTTCTCCACCAATCTACGCCGACGTGGTGATAAGCTTCTTTCCCTGTCTCTAAAAACATCAGAGCTCTGAATTGATCCACTCGGTGATTCACTAGTTGAATCTCTTCCACTGATTCCTCCATCTACTTTCTCAAACAAGTTTGGAGGTTTTCGATGTCTGGGTTTGTGGGAGCTATCAAGAATAGACTCTGTTTTTCTTGCTTGTGGAGGGTCAGTGAAATGACTGAGAGGAGGCGTTACTTTTCCAGTTGGTTTATCAGAGTTGACATCTTTGAAAATAATACTAGTCCCTTTCGATTTCTTTTTGGAATGTTTCTCTTGTATTCTCGAAGCTATGTCATTGGGCCCTTTCTCACTGGCCTTTAGCTGATATATATTGCTTACCGTGTGTTTTTGGGCTTCGTCTATCACCATTGCTTGGTTGACTGCTAGTGGACTACATGATGGGCCTTGCTCTATATCATTTGGGATTTCTCTTATCACCTCACTAGGTGTTATTGTAGATGGGATCTCTTGTGCCTGTTGTGGCCTGAATGTCCCCACTGGGGTGGGCTCCTCCTGTAGTGCTTCAAATTTATTCCCCTTGATGTGAGTTATTTTTTGTTTGGGCTTCAAAGTTTTTGCCTTTCGTCTTCTACTGGGTGCAGTGGTCCAAAACCTTCAGTTCTATTCTCATTCAGCCCATCCACCCGCTCTGGTTCCCTGGACTTGGATGATTCTGCTTCATTAGTGTCTAGATGAGTAATGGCCTTACTCGGATTCATCTTCTCCGGCACTATCATCGGGTATTCTGTACACCTCTCTTTTCGGTGCCCTACTCTTCCACCAGCAAAACACAGAAGATGAACATGTTTATATTCCACCACATAGTTATATTTACCAATTCTGAGATGCGAAGTTAGGGGTTTACGGAGATCCATTTCAACACAAACTAGGGCATACTTGCCTCTAGCGGCCATAGCCGTATTGATATCAACTTTCAATGGTGTGCCAAGAGCCTTAGCAATGTGGTATAGAATTTTTTCATCATAGTATTCAATTGGTAGATTTGGAAATCGAACCCAGATTGCAATTGTGTCTTTTTCAGCCTCATCGGATTTAAAATCAGGTTGCCATTTTCACACAGTAACATAATGATCCATATCCACTAGTATAGACTTTAGAGTAATCTCCATCATTTCAAACTTCACAATGAAAAAACCATTTCCAATGTCCAGTACCTCAAAGTTTGCTTGAAGGCTCCACACTCTTTGTATTCCAGTAACAAAAAGACTATATCCAATATTCTTACCCAGTAATTGCACAATAAGGCATTTTTTCCAGGGTTCTCTGACCTTCTTTAGCAAACCAGAAGGGATTTTGACTGTGGGGTTGGACCCATTGCCAATGATTTCCATACCTCCCTCTGATTCACCCTCATCGTCCATTTCCTCATCCGATGTGAGGTGCTCCGCATCATAGTCAAAGCTTTTCTCCTTCTCATTCTCATTGAATCTAGATCGCAAGAGCACTTGTTTGAATGATTTCTCTTTGATCTTATTATTTAGCTTTCCATTCACAGAAACAGATTAGCCCGTTGTTGCATTTTGGTCCATCGGGACCTCATGCATTTGGGCATCTACCCCATGACCATGCCCCTCAACCGAAGTCGTGCCTTCTAAGGCTGGCTCTTTTACCTTTTTGTTACTCCGATCCAGATGATCTTGTTCCTCCAATATGCGTTGCAACTCTCCAGAGCTTTCTCCAACGGTCATATTGAAAATTACCTCTCTCTCCTCCCTACTGACTCCACTTCTGGAACTTGTTTATTTGTTCATTGATGTTATAATATATCTCATATTTGTTCTTATTCTCCTATCGATTGAATGTAAGTAGTAGTGGAGAGTGGTTGTTGAGTTTAAATTTAGTTGACTTTTTAACTATTGTGAGTTAGTAGTTTATTTGTCCATTGATTATATAATATTTCTCACAATTATAATTACTTTCTTATCGATTAAAAAGAATATATTAAGTATATGATAGTGCACACAAGTATAATCAAGTATAATATAAAAGGGGTTTTTTTTTAAGGTCCCTTGTATTAATGTTTTATAGCATAAAAGACATTTAATATTTTCATAATGTCTAAGGTCCCTCAAGTTGATCCAGAGAAAATTGGTTCAGAGAAAATTAGTCCAGAGAAATTTGACCTCCTTAGCCTTTCATGGCCTCTACAGAGAAATTTCAAATTTCTCTGCCGTGGGTTTGATCCTCCACCATTGTCGCTACTGTTGTTACCATCTTCACTACCAATGCAATCAGAATGGTAACACATGTTTACAAGGAATTTGCTTAACATCCATACCACGCTCAAAATCATCTTTACACATAGCACACTGAGCCAATTCAGAACTCAACAATCCATTATCAACAGTAATGGTCGGAAGCACATTCACAGCAGACTTCGAAGCCGGCAGTGTTCCGTATCGATTTGGATCGTTCTCAGCCAATTGCTAAATCAATTGCTCGAGCCCTGGGCCGACGAAGTAATCGCCGAGGTTAGCCGGAAGCTGAAGCCCTTGCTCCGACGAAGGATTGTTGGCGACAACGAACTCGATGTTGGCACCGCCAACGGCAAGAGCGAAAAAAGACAGGAAAGAACTACAATTTTTGAGTCAAATTTCTCTGATATATGTTTAGGGATGTTAGACATCAAAAAATAATTTTGTGGATTTCTTCCATTACGAAAAGTGGGGGAGGGATCCTAGACTAATTTTCCATAATATAAAAAGTGAGCTTGTATATAATTAAAATCATTTATTTTGTAGGTTATTTTAAGGGTATAATGCATATCAAAAATTAAATCGATCGCACATTGAGCCATTTGATCGGATCATATTTTTCTAAAAAGAATTAATGATCTACAAAATGAATAATTTGGAATATTAAGACGGACCTGAAATGAGGTCATAGTTGACTAGACTAAACCGTCTAATTACATATTCCAATTAGAGAGTATCTAATTCCATATATATGTATATATATATAAACTAATAGGGTAAATTATAAATACACTCCCAGAAATTTACTTAAAGTACAGATTGCCTTATGTGGTTTAGAAAATTACAATTACTCTTTGATAGAATTTTTTATTTAACAGAATTAACTAAAAAAATAAAGTCATAATTGCTCTCCTATATAATAATAAAATTATCTAAATTATTAAGGGGTATTTACTTATAGGTCCTAATAAGTAGACTTATTATCTAATAGGTCTTATAGAAAAAATTTGTCATAAAAAAAGTCACTAATTGTAAGTTTTAGTGACAATTTATAAAAATCATGATAAAAAAAGTCACTAATTATCAGTTTTTAGCGACATGTATAAAAAATTGTTGCAACAAAATTATTTTTAACGACAATTTTACCAAAACTTATTTTTAATAGGATTTGATGAGAATTAAGTCCAACTATTAGGACTTATTGGTAGTTTACCCAATTATTAATTAAAATATATTTCTAAAATCGTTAAAAACTGTTAATTGATCTGATGATTTATTAATAAAATGATCGATTTGTTATGAAATTAGAAATTTTAGGAGGTGAAATGTAATTTTTAAAATTACAAGAGCCAATTTATATTTTAATCAAATCTCAAATAACGTATTTGTAAATTATCCTTACTAATATATAAAGTGGTCATCACTGTGAGTGTATATATTACCAAAAAAAAATTTAAAAATGTACTAAAAAGTTATGATTATTATAAATTACTTTAATTATGTTAATAATTATTTTGACAAGAAGTTAAAATAGTCAACTTCGAGTTTTGAATTGGCGTAGATTTAACAAATTTTGAATTTTCCCAATTCAAAATGGGTGTTTGGAAAGTTGCTATTTTAATAGACTATTTTAGTTTTTGACTATTTTAAGAAGTTAAAATTTTTATTTTTGGAAAGATAGTTAGATTTTTTTATAGTTGGATGTGATATTTATAAGAGAAAAAGTAAAATAATTATAAATTTGATATGATATTTTATCTTATTAACTCTTTTAACCTATTTTATCTTTTAATACTATTTTAACTAAAAAAAACTAAAAACCTTCTTCCCAAACGCCTCTAAATGCTTAACAATAATTGTTCTACTTTTTCCTAACTAGCGTTCTTCCAATTCAAAGTGGTTAACAGTAATGGTTAATACTTATCTTAAAGTGGTTAACAGTAATTGTTAATAATTATCTAAAGGAATCTATGTTAAAATTTTCCCTATATATCAAGCGAGATTGAGGGAGAAAGATAAAAAGCAGAGAGAGAGAGAGAGAGAGGAGAGATAGCAATGAGTTCAGGAGGAGAGATGAAGGAGGACTGCCATGGATGGGCTGCAAGAGATCCATCTGGATTGCTCTCTCCTTACAAATTTGGCCGCAGGTATGTATCTATATGCGCATACATGTTCTTACATATATTTATATGTATATACACTTGTGTGCACTTATGTTGATTATTGGAAATTGAAATTAATGTAGAGAATTGAAACCACACATCAATCTTTCATCGATCTCGTCGTTGCTTAATTATAATTTATTTGCAGTGTTGAAGCCATAAATGTTCATCACTTCACACAGTACCAAATCTACTGCCCAGTTTTCTGTTTGAATTTTCTTTTCTTTTCTTTTCTTTACTCTTTTGGAAATGGGAATTCCAACCCCAAGTGGCTGGAATTTTTTTGTGATTGATATACATGAGGTGTCCAACAAAATGAACGGCTGTTCGGATTATCAAAACGTGACCACACTATAGACCCCACGGGCAGAACAGCGTGCTTCAGTCCGGATTAAGGACTGGAGGGGATCCAGGTCCTTGTTTTTCATTGGTAAAAAATCATCAGGTGACAACTTGAGAAATAAGTTTTCCTTTCTACTTTCATGATATACATATATATAGATGTATGTGTATATTTACTGGTTTTTTAACATGAAAACAATGCAGGGTTGTTGGAAGTGATGATGTTTCCCTAAAAATTACCCATTGCGGAGTGTGTTATGCTGATGTTATATGGACCAAGAATAAACATGGAGACTCAAAGTACCCCTTAGTGCCAGGGTATGTGCTTCATTCTCTCTCTCATTTCAGATTATATATCTACAGAGGGCTAGGAAGCACGGATACGGATACGGGATACGGATATGGATACGATACGATACGGCGATACGACAAAATTTGAAAAACTAGGATATGGATATGGATACGGCGGGGATACGTTCGTAAAAAATATTATTTTAACAATTTTTAGTAATGCAGTATGCATAAAAATAAAACTTAAACCAAAAGACAACTTGATAAAGAAGAAAGATTCCTACAAAACTAAGAGTCTTCAAAGTCAATAGTTTCAACTTGTTCCCCTTCATCAGTGAATATCACAAGAGCTTAGCTACAGCCAAAGCCAAAGCCAAAAAATCATTCTTAAATAAAAATATCAGCAAATATACTTTTTTAAGTCATCAATGATAGCCTAGGAAGCACGGATACGAATATGGTGATATGGGGATGTGGATATGGCGATATGTCAAAATTTGAAAAAGTATGATATGGGTACAACGGAGATACATTCATAAATTTTATTTTTTATAATTTTAATAATGTAATATGGTTGAAAATAAAACCTAAAGCAAATTAATAAATAAAGAGAGGGATTTCTATTAAGTTAAGTGTCTTCAAACATTCCTAAAATATTCAAAACTAAAAGCAAATGCAAATGCAAATTAAGCATCATCCTTACATGCCAACACCAAAAAAAGAATGAGAGCAGAGAGAAGAAACGTGAGAGAGTGAGAAAGCGAGAGAGAAGTGAGAGAGACAACAAGGATACATCAATTTGACAAATTCTATTACTTTAACTTTCACTATATTCCTCTTATGAAAAAACTAAACAAAATATTATAAGTAATATGTAATTTCGAGTATCCGATACTTCAAAATTAAGTATCTGATACTTCAAAATTAATAAAAAATTAATTAAGAAGTATCCGATACTTTTAAGAAGTATCTGATACGTATCCGCGAGTATCCGAGGAGTATCGGTATCCGATAAGTATCCGATACGGATACGTCACCCTTTTTGAAGTATCCGTGCTTCATAGACAGAGGGTCATTTTTTACACGTCTCATGAATTGATGTATATGTAACTCGTTTTTTTTATTTTCAAAAAAACAAAAAAGACATGAGATTGTTGGAATTGTTAAAGAGGTTGGTTCCAATGTTCATCACTTCAAAGTTGGAGACCATGTTGGAGTGGGAACTTATGTCAATTCATGCAGAGATTGTGAGTATTGTGGTATGGATATGGAGATCTACTGCTCCAAGGGGGCTGTCTATACTTTCAACTGTATTGATGCCGATGGTACGGTCACAAGGGGTGGATATTCTAGTTACATTGTTGTTCATGAAAGGTAAGCTTTTCTTTTTCTTTTCTTTTTTTTCTTCCTTCCTTTTTTAACAATTTGTAGAGAGAAATAGAAAAAATGAGAAAGTTGCATAGCATAGTGGTACCGGCCCAAGGAATATTGAGAGGCCGTACTAGACATAAACTAAGGTCTTAGGCCCTGGGATTTTTGGACAATCGTGGCCTTCGACCTAAAGATTTCTTTTTGTGTGGGCTTTTTTTGGTGGCTCTTGAGTTACCTTATGGTTTAGCTGCCTCTCACTGTGAGATTTAAATTTGGGCATCATATATGCTTGGTAAAAGAATTAATGCCTCATCCAACAGGTTTACGGTACCCCTTGATCTGTCTGCTCATTCTCTATTTTTATTCAATCCAATAAAAAGTGCATGTCGGAATGATGATTGAGCTAGCATCTACTTGCCTCCATATGGATGGCATTGTTGCCAAACAAGGCAGTTAATGTGAATGTGCCCTTCTTCTCTTTTATGATTTCAAAATAAACAAATACAACCAAAAAAAAAATTTGAGCGAATTATTTACCGTTGGACTAAACATTATGCTTGTGTTGATGCTTGTAAAATTACAGGTACTGCTTTAGGATACCTAATGACTTACCGTTGGCCTTAGCAGCACCACTGCTATGTGCAGGAATAACCGTTTATAGTCCCATGATTCGCCATAAAATGAACCAGCCCGGTAAATCTCTTGGGGTGATCGGTCTAGGTGGCCTCGGTCACTTGGCAGTGAAGTTTGGGAAGGCTTTTGGATTGAGTGTTACAGTTTTTAACACCAGTATATCTAAGAAAGACGAAGCCCTGAACAAGCTTGGTGCAGATAGTTTTGTGATCTCGTCTGACGAAGAACAGATGAAGGTAAAGGCCATGAGCATTTCTCCTCCATGATATGTTTTGTTTGTCACACAAGCTCACAGCTTAGAATTATAGCGATGGAAGTTTCCATAAATTGACAATCATCATTTTAATTTCATGCAGGCCATGACTAATTCACTCAACTTTATTATCGACTCAGCATCGGGGGATCACCCGATTGATCAGTACATGTCACTGTTGAAAACCAGTGGCTCCTTCGTCCTGGTTGGTTTCCCAAGTGAAATCAAGGTCAATCCTATAAGTCTGATAATGGGTATGTATTTTCATCACATAGTTTTTGAAAAATTGAAAACAAGAGAAAATAGTAGGCATTGTGATTTTCTAAGAAAAGTAACTATCTGCCAATGAGAATTCAAACATAAAAATGATTCTCTGGCAGGTATGAAAACAATATCCGGTAGCGCGACAGGGGGAACAAAAGAGACGCAAGAAATGTTGGATTTTTGTGCAACTCAGAAGATATACCCAGAGGTTGAACTGATTCCTATTGATTATATAAATGAAGCTTTAGAGCGGATGATAAGGGGGGACGTGAAGTACCGGTTTGTTATTGATATAGAGAACTCTTTGAAACGAAACGAAGGAAAATAAAAAAAAAATCAATAGTTGTGATATTAGTGAAGATAGAAGTGAGTAGAGGATTAAATAAAGGGTGAGAGAAGTGATGATCTTCTTGATGTGTTGTGGTACTACATATTTGTGTTTTTAAGTCATGTTTGAATTATGAATTTGTAGATTATGGATTTGTGATAAAAAAAAATTGCAGAGGGAAGGATTTGAAGGAAAGATATATGAAAAATATCAATTAAGTGAGCCCTTGACTGTAGGAGTTTCTACAATTCAAGTAATGTCACATCTTATTGGTTAAAAGATTATACAAATAATCTTATATTTGGTATTCTAGTTATTTTAGACAACTTGTTTATATTTTTAATTAAATATTTCTCTAAATTTTTTTTAGATGGTAAATAAAATTTAATTTTGGCAATTTTTCAAATATCCATCAGCTAATTTTTATTTTTTTAATTAATTTATTTGAACGATCAAATTGTTTCACAACAAAAATTATGTTTGATTTTATTTATGAAAAATATTTTTGATTTTTTGATTTTTGATTTTTTTTTATTTCATTCTTTTGTCGAGAACTTATTAGAAAATCCTCTTAAAATACTTGTATTCCAATTATACATAAGATATTCTTGTATTTTAATAAGTCTTATTGTTTTTGATATTTGATCTACTAAATCATAATTATCATATTTAAGATATTTTATGGATAATTTTAATCTTGCAAATATTTTTTCAACTCTTACCAACTTGGTAATGTAAACATTCACAATAAATAAATTTGATTGGGTGAATGTTTACACTGACAATGTGAATGTTCACATCATGTAACATTTACACTGTCAATGTAAACGTAAATGTGCACACCCTATTATTATTGGGGGTATTGTAACTATGTTACCTATACGAATTTTTGGAATATAAGAAAATAATTTGGACTAAGTGGAATATAAGTAGAGGAAGAGAGATTTATGAAAAAAGCCACCTTCTTTTTTTTCTTTTTTCTTTTTTCTTTTTTGTCTTTATTAAAATTTTCATATTTTAGTTAGATTTTTAAAACTTTTTTTTATGCAAATAATTGTGTAATATAATTGTGGAACAATTTGATCATATATAAAAAAATAAAAAAATCATGTGATAGATCATCCAAAAATTATCAAAATTGAATTATATATTTTTTTTAGATAAAAAATTTCCCAAGTTACCTAAAATAAATAGAACTCCAAATAAATACCTAATCAATTTCTTCACCAATTGGTGTCGCAGCCTTTTTTCCATTCACTAATAGTCGAAAGCATCTTTATGTAATTAACCCTTACAAAAATAATACAAATTAATCACAATTTTTAAAGGTATATATTTTTGTACGGGGGCGAAATATCCTCTGCTTTCCGTACTCCTTGGGCGTCAAGCTTCTCGTGACGGCGTCTATCCCTGCAACACAGAAATGGTGAGCTGCCCGGCGGTGGTGTGCCGGATAGACCCTCCGACGATCAAGTCAGACCACAGGAGGAAGAAGAAGGCTATCCCAGAGAGAGAGAGAGAGTGTTAGTGATAGAGTGAATTTTGCATACCTCTAACGTTCCTCTTTCCTTCTATTTCTAGGCTGGCCATGCAGCCTCAAGATTGTGCGCGCACTACCTCTGTTGTCCTTCCCTGGACAGGTGACAGTGCTCGCCTCTCACCACCTTACGCGTGTAAAGGCTTAGTCCTCCCACCAGTACACGCAGAACTGTCCAACGGTATTGATGCGTGCGTAGAGCAGATGCCCTCTCCCTCACGCCATTGGCCCAGGTGGCACATCTAACCGGAGTACCACGACCGACCTATCCCTTGTGGAGAACTGTCACCACATGTACGCAACCGAGCTATGTGTCGCCGGCTTGCCCCTTTGGCAAAGGGGCCAAGGGGTGATGCTCATGACCGGGCTAATATTGACCGGTTTATTGTGGCTTACCAGTTCCGAGGCATGCCGGCCTCCATCCGTTCTACCTTCATCCGAGGTTATCTGGAATCTGTCCATCTCGGCTAACCGTTCAAAGGCATGCCGACCTTCGCCTCATCCTCGGTTTAGCCCGAGCTACTCGTAGCCCGGTCTCGCCACTCGACTGCGTGCCCTGCCAAATGTCTATAAGTCACAGCTCGGCCGGGCGTAGTTCACGCCTGGTCTGCCGATCTCCTTGACTGATCAAAACAGATCCACCGGCCGTCTCAGTAGAGGAAATAGTGCAGCACCGTGAAGTTTGTCACGACCGGCACTATCGTAGCTCGGCCGTACTAACGGTGCAAATCTCTCCTCTCAATTGCCCCTTAATCCCATCCGAGCTAATCGTGATTAGGGTACCCCAGTGACCGAGCTAACGGTCCGTGATTTGCACTATTTCTGAGCTGAGCATGATTGCATCATTTGTGAACCGAGCATGATTGGGGTCAAACGGCGTCGCCGAGCAATCCCATTTGATCGGAAATTACTTCAGCAGTCTTATCAATGGTCGTACAATCGTACTGACAGCCGCGTTCTCAGTGCCACGTGGCCTCACGCCATTGGACCGTACAACCAGCTGTCTTGCACACGCTGGAATTCAAACGGCGCAGCCGTTTTGGCCTTTTTCCCCCCTCTTTATGCACAACCCAAGAGTCATTCAAACTCTTCACTGTCCTTCTTCTTGAGCCGAAAGCCCTAGCTCCCAGAATCCTCTAACCTCTTCTGCCATTACTGTCTTTGTGCTTCACCCTCCATTTCAGTTCCTTCCGCAAGCTACAATCAGGCTCTCGAGGTTGCATCCACCCTCGCATCTGCCACTAGTAAGTTCCATTACCCTTCCTCGCATTTTCTGTTTTCATTTCTCGAATTTGTTGTACCTGTTCTTCATTTTCGTGCCACTGTGCTCCGTGTCCTCTGCTTGGGACCTTTAAGGCTCTTCCTTTTTAGTCCCAATAATGCCACACCTTAGAAAAACTGGAGCTGGTGGAGTGGAGGGGGCCTTCGTGCCCCTTGATTCACCAAGCCTCAAAGCCAAACCTCTGAACTTGATATGAACAGTTCGGATCTGGACTGAACCGAGCTAAATGCTCATTTAGATCCGTAGGTAGAGCTATAGCCGAGCAAAAACTGTTTGTGGCCTCTCGCTGAGGCCGCAACCGAGCCGAACACAATTAGGTCGGTAAATAGATTGAACCGGGCTGAAAGCCTGAAATCTTTACTTGGTGCCTTGACCGGGCTAAAAGCTCGATTAGATCCGTCAATAGATTTGAATCAAGCTAAAACCTGCCTCTACCGAGCCGAAACGAGAACCAAATCAGGAAGGCTAAATCAGCCATGTTGTTTAGCAGAGGTAGGAGTTAGAGTGGCCAGATACCCAAAAATCCTTTCACTGAGCAATTTCCAATAGGAGCCGTGCAATTTATGTCGTGCTAACCCTTGGGATTATTTCTTAACAATGCAGAACAAACTAGGACCGACCAGGAGAGCACTATCACTGGTGGAGCTCAAAGACCGAGCAAAAACACCAACATTTTAGACCGAGATACAAAACCCAATAAGACCGAGATAGATGGGGAAGTACTGATATATGGTTAGCTCGCCCGGTGCGATGGCGGAGTTTCGTAGGGAGTACAACATTCCTGACGACGTCGTCTTAGAGCTCACCAAAAAGGGAGACACCCCTTGGGGAGATCTAGACCGGTGCCCGTTCACGGTAGTTTCAATAGTTGAAGGTGGACTTCGCTTCCCGGTCCAACCCTTGATCTGCGAATTTTTGAGGCAGACAAGGCTTTGCCCGACCCAAGTCTCCAACAATACGTACAAGATAATAAATGGGGTCGCCGAGCTAAACCGGAGGCTCGGTCTCAATCTCGGTCTGGCTGAAATTTTCCACCAATATAGCCTCAGTAAGAATAAAGGTGGGTTTTGTTGGTACCTCAAAGTGAAGAAGGGCCGAGCAAAACTCATCGAGGGCAACCCGGACAAAGAGGCCAATGACGATGACTTCTTGTGGGTGTCCGGTCGATATGAAGACACCGAGGCACCCGTACCGGGATGGTATATTAGGAAAGATTTTGGCAGTGCTGGTGAGTAGTCCGGCTGACCGCACTATATTATTTCTGCATATTTTTTTTATTTTTTATTTTTCATCGGTCTAACACTCGTCTTCTTTTGCAGATAAGCACTTAGCAGCAGATTACTACCGCGCTAATCAGGAGGCCATCGGAACCTTGTTGCGCCATCCGGCCGAGGAACGGGAGTCATCGAAACTCCTCGGCTTCGAAAAGACCTACCACTACACTGCACCGTGCAAGAGCCGGGTTACCGACTTTCTACGTGCGCCATCCCCAGAACCAGATCCAAACCTACCACCGATCAGACTTGTTCCTTTCACCGCCGAGCAAGAAATGACGAAGATCCGGGCAATCAAGTCCATGATCACCAGAGAGGAAGGCGGGTCCCAACCACTTGAGGCAACCGGGGGAACATCCTCCACCCCAGCCGGGCAAACAGAAGGAGCTGTGCTGGCATTGGCCAGCGAGCAGGCGGCTGGCCGATCAAAGAAGAGGCAGAGAAAGGACCAATCAGGCCAACAATTGGTTGATGAAGACTCGGCCGAACACGCCTCAACCGAGCTGGGTGATCAGACCGATCAACAACTACCAGGGCCATCCTAGAGCCCAGCTACCCCCCGGTCTGGGCACCTGAGTACAAATACCAGGGCCGGGCTGTCACTGCCGCCGACTCGGTCTACGTCGACAAGGACCACTCGCTTGGTTTTAACATGACCAAGGGGTTGATCTTGCCTACCGACATGAAAAAACATGACGAGCTTTCTGACCTAAAGGTCCTTCGCTCGGCGGCAAAATCCATAGTTTTGGTAAGTCGTCAGTCTCTTTTTTTTTCAAGTTATTGTTCGGTTATTGCTCGGTTTCCGGAATACTGACAATCTTGCATTTGCTTGCAGGCCGCGCAGAAGAACTATCTTGCCCACGAGTGCATGATCCCCGTGCGGCAGAGTCTGCGCGACGCCATTGCGGAGAACAAGGCCCAAAAGGCTGAGATAGCCAAACTCAAGGCCGCGCAAGAGGCAATTGCGGCGGAGCGAGATATCCTGAGTCAAAAAGTCGACCGAGCTGACGCGGACAAACAACGGGCCGTGAAGTCGGCAAAGGCCAGGTACCTCGTCGAGCTGAGGAAACTGCGCGATGTGCACAAAGCAGAGAAAGACAAGGCTGTGGATGACGCCGAGGACAGGGGCTACGCTCAAGGCG